TGTATTTTCTAACATATTTAATGTTAGAAGATACAACACTCTTTGTACTGATTTGGAAGCTTCCACCTTTAGATAGCTTTAATAGTTCAGCAAGGTATCATGCAGGCTTGTGGGGGAGAACAGTCATCAGCAATCTCATCCTGTTGCCAACTCTGCTAGTCATATTGAACAACCTGGCTAGATAAGGCAAATTGGGTACAACAGTGATATACATGTCATAATGGTAACCAACTGCTTTCTGAGTGGATTTGAGGCCTATTCACAGAAGAAAAATCATGTCTGGCAGGGTAACGCTGGCCAATAATTCTTATCTTGGAAATTTACAGGCTCAGGGGTGAGCCTGTTACTATCTACTAAATAAATTCAGCAAAAACTGTCTTGAAAATAGGTTTCCCTCTACAATAGTTTAGCATGGTTTTCAGTCCTCATCTGATAATCTTCTTTATGTCATGAATGATAGTTAATACAGATACTCACAACTGATTAAAGTGTAAACAATAAAGATCTATGAAGTACTATCATCTAAATGGGACATAAATTTCACTCACTCCTTCCCCAACACCTAGAGAACATCACAGATGTGCAAACAAAAGATTATGAGTTAGAGGTCAGAGTGGATTGGGGCGGAAAACTATTTCCTGGATAAGACAGGAGTGTTTCCCTCCTGAACACAGAGGAGTTGTGGTTACCTGAACAAGACTTGCACAAGATCAAGCCACTTAACATTGCAGCATTGATGCAAAAACAGTCCATGAGTCCCGATCCCTTGCTGAATCACTAGTGACAGTCTATGGCTGCTATTAGAGAGAGGTAACTTTCATTAGGAGTACGGCCTCTGGTAGAGCGACCATGCTTTAGATCATAGTTCATAATAATGTCCATATGGGTAGCATGGATTTGCTCAGTGATTTAAGAGGGTTGGGACAGGGCATGATATTAGCTGGTTCGTGTTGGGGAAGGTCCCCAGGAAGAGCTGGAGTGGGAGGATCAGTATGGTCAGAATACAATACTTTCTCAAAAAGTAAGTGAAAAGCATCACATTAAAAAGAAACTAAAGAGTACAGAAGAAAGTAGCACACACTTTTCAAATTCTAAATGAAATTAATTGTTAAAAATAAATTCTATATTTAACAAAATTCTCCTAGGATGAGGGTACAATAAATTCTTTCTCTGACAAAGATAAAAGAAGTTGTCATTAACTCTTTAATGAACAGAAAAAATGAACAAAGAAAAATTTTGAGGCCATAGGAGGAAGAAAAAAAATAAAGAGCAAAATGTAGGTAATATCATTATTCTAAATCACATTAGTGATTAAAATAAAAATTGTAACATCATCTGATCTTCAAAGCAATGATACCCCAGAGAGGAGTGAAAAGACCTAAGTGAATGTATAATTTCTATACTTCATCACAGAGCAGTGAAGAATGATAAGAGAAGACAAAATGATTAATACAAATTTATATAACACATGATAAATAAAGTCAAGATAGAATCTTAAAAGTTTGTCAAGTAACTCACAGAAAGTCATGAAGGAAAACAGCAAACAGAAAACAAAGCATAGATTGTCTCTAATATACTAAAAAGTGAGATGATCAATTATACTAACCACAAGGCTGGGATAAAATTTTTAAAGCAACTCAATAATACATTGTGTAATGTGTTGTTTACAAGGAACTACAAACTAAATGGCACAGGTAGGTCAAGAATAGACGACTAGGGAAAAATATAACATGCAAACTTAAGTTTTAAAATCCCAGGAGCTGTTATAGTAATAGTACATAAAGTAGGCATGAAAGTAAATACACAACATCAGACAAGGGGCATTTCAAAATGGCAGAAGGATTGATTCCCATGGAGAGACAGTGACTTTAAACTGTGCACCAAACAACAGAGCTCAAAAATATAGGGAACAAAACTTGATAGAGCAGAAAGAAGAAACACATTGTAAACAGGAACTTCAAGTTTATCTTCTAAGTGAGTAGTAAGCTGTACAGTCAGGAAATCAGTAAAGGTAAAAAGTATGTGGACAAAACAGTCAATAGGATCAAGTGAATATATATGGAAATTCATACTCAGTAACATTTGTCTTCCAGCATCTAAGGACCGGCACTAAGATACAGCATGCCACGTGCTGTCAAACAAACCTGAACACATTTGAAATACTTGAAATTACAGAATGTGTTCTATAATTCTGATGAATAAAACTACAAATCAATAGCAAATGACAAAATGAAATTTTAGAAACATACAGAAAGGGTGAATTAAGAAGAAAAGGTATACATATGTAATTATGTAGGATGTTGCTAGGATAGTAATGAGAGTTAAAATTTCTAATTTATTATTAACTGCTCATGTTAAAAGACAAGAAGCAAATTACTCAAAGAAAGAATAAACAAAATTCAAATAAAGAGAAAAAACCAATGAAACTGAAAATAGAAAAATGAATTGAACAAAAATTTTTAAAAACAAAAATGAACAAAACTGAATAATACATAAGGAGATGAACAAAAAAACCCAGACGATGCAAAATATTGAAAATAGGAATCAAACAGAAATCATTGTAAATGCTAAAGTCATTAAAAAAGACAGTAAGGCAATACTATTAGCAATATGAGCTTAAATTTGACAAAAAAATAGCAATAACTTGGATAGACACAATCACCTAATATAGATAGCACTATTCAACCTTGGCAGAGCACAGGTTCAGGGTACCCTTTGTTTCCTGGTAAGAAAGCATGTTGAGCCCAAGTCCCAAAATGAAACACCCATGCAGGAGTCCTTCTGCTTATATACTGGCAACGAATATGTAGAAATGGAACTTAAAATATAGTACTATTTATAGTCCTTGTAAAGAAATTAAATGCTAAATACAACTTCATAAGGTGCAACTTAAAGTTGAAATTGTCTAGAGTCTGTACGTGGAAATGAATTAAAAGATGCATGATTTGAGAAGAAAATGGGTGAAATTGTGGAGCCCTTTCGCTTAAACTTGTGTCAAGAAGCACATAAAGAGTATTCAACATCACTAGTCATTAAACAAATGGAAATTCAGACTGTCATGAGATATCACGAGATATCCATTAGAACAGAGACTATTTTAACACTACTCAAGAATCAACGACCAATGCAATTTGAGGAAATTAGTCACTCACATACTGCTGATGGAAATGCAAAGGGATTCTTAGGGGAACTTGGTAAATTGTACATGGGCATCTCCCTGTTGTTTCTTAAAACAGTATGTGAAACCACTACTACTAATTAAAGGGGTTAATTTAAGAAAAATGAAAGAAAAGAAAAATAAATTAGCACTGAAAGTGAACTTGGTATGCTGATGTAGAGAGTGCCAGCCTGTACTTCACCACAGAGAGTCCGGCTTTCATTTCACAGAGAACACTTGTTCATGGAAATTGCTTTCTCTGTGTTTTAGACACACAGTAGGGAATGATTCTCATTGTTTGTATAGTGAAGTGTGGTTTAGGACTGAACTTGACCAATAGGTGTAGGAAGAAGGGTTATTCACTAAGTGGCCCAAGGAACCACAAAGACTCCATACTCCACTTCCCTTCTTCACTGGCTAGCTGTGCAAAAGCATGACTTTATTATTGAATCACTCTGGGGAGAAGACTGATGATGGGAACACAGTTTTTGAATTCACATACTAAAAATATTAATTCAATAAACCACAGAAACTGGGGGCCTACAGGACATTTTAATGCATATGCTCATTCTTGTTAATAATCAATGCTGACATTCCCAGAATATTCTGCATCTTGTTCAGCCATGTTGTTTTCCTGGTAATGTCATACAACAGTTACTTCTCACTTTTATAAAATCTTTCTGTAATCCCAAATTTATTATTTGGGATTATTGAAATATAATCTCTACTTTGTTCTAAGAAAAGTGCAAGATAGCTGCATAATGCCTTAATATGCCAAAATCAAATAATTTTGAAAGGAAATAAAAGTATGAAATGGAAATGGGATAATGAAATATTTTAAAGGGTGAGGTAACTACTTAAATATATTGCAGACAAATCTACATGCTCATACTTCATACTGATTTCTAAAGGTAAACATGATAGGAAAATAAGATCTATCACACTATTTATTTTCAAACCCTTTGAAAATTAAGGTAAAAGCATGTGCTTTAGAAACCAATTGGGGAATATATCCTGATGCTGACACCAGACAAAACTTCTTAAGCAACCTGACAAAAGCGTTATCACAAACCAGAGTCCACCATCTTCAAATATGAAATAGTAAAATCAAGGGAAACCTGGGTGTAAGTGGACCTCATTGATTTTTATTCATCATTAGCTTTTCCTAGACATCCTCAACAGCAGCTAAAGTATTTCCTGAAGCACACATTTAGTCTATGGAGAAAAAGATGGGGTAGAAGTCTAGCTTGTTATTATCTTTCTCTTTGGTATCTAGTAGCAGTGGGTAAGTCACTACTTATTAACAATTTGAGAGACTGTTTCAGAAGTTCTGAAAGTTTCAGAATTCGCATTAGACCCAAATACCTATTTTCAGTGGAAATAGACAGACAGGGTCCTTGGGGTTTAGAGAAGGTGCTTCCAAAGGAGGAGCACCCATTGAAGTTTGATGAGTGAACTGACATTAGCTGAAGACAGTTGAACAAGATTATTTGAAACTACATAATTGTTCTTCATGTACATGTACGTAACTATAACTTTGCTCGCAAATATGAATAAACCATGAAGACATTTTCAAATCCAGTCACTTCTAGAGTGAAGGATTTGAAATGGATTAATTCTCAGTAAAATAGTTCCTATTTTATTCATTTCCATCCCCATCTTTTACATTTCCCCTATGAGTTCAGTGTTACATGTGATCCAAGATATTTTCCATGCCCACAAGGGGGACCCTTTGTGCCATGGCACCAGAGTTTACCCAGTGCAGGTCTTCTAATTAGCCATTTAGTTATATCCATTCTCTGCCATCAAGCACAGGAGTCATTTCCGATTTCATTCTCCTCACCTGTGAATCCAGGCTGACAAATACAAACGTAGCCTGAGGCTCCAACGTAGCTGAAGGAGGAAGGCAGGCCAGCAATGTGTCCATACAGATCCTCTGAGGACAGTTCCACACACTCACCCTCAAATTGGCAGGGGTTGCTACTGCATTCATTTATGTCTGTCTCACACAGGGCACCTGTGTATCCTGCAGGATGAAAGTTCAGAGAAACTGCTGAGCCAAAGCTTGGGAAATGCCAGGCATGTGTCTGAGACGAGGCTGACCACTGTGCTGGTGCCAATTAGCAAGATGCCCACCCTCAAAAATCTAGCAGGGGAAGCAGATGAAAGGATGCTACATGGAAACAGATTCTAGTAGCAGTGGAAAGGGATACATAATAAATTCTAGAAGATGTATGGCTTTGGCCAATAGTTTTAGAAAGGTGTCATTAGTTAGGCTTGAAGTAAAATGGAATTTCAAGATTAGTGTGATTTAATTTGAACACTGCATGAAATGGAAAACCAGTTATACCAATTTAGCAAATAATCATTTTAAAAATGAAGCTTTTTTAAAGAGAATATTTGAAAAGTCAGCAGCATCCACATAGACAACCGGAAGTCACTGTGCTGGCCAGATCAACCTGACAGAAGCTAGAGTCATCAGAGAGGGAGGAGGAGCAAGAAAGTAAGTAATACTCCGCCATGACCTCTGTATCAGCTCCTGCCTCCAGGTTCCTGCCCTGTCTTCCATCATTGATGGACTAGATGTGGATGTGTAAGCCAAACAAATCCTTTTATCTCCAACTAGCTTTGGTCATGGTGTTTCATCCAGCATTAGAAACCTTAAGGTGCTCCTTAAAGGTCAGAGTAACTAAGATAGTAATTGGTACCAGTATAGTGTGGGATCTCTGTGACAGATCTGACCACATTGTTTTGGGGAAGATTACGAAAGAACTGTGGACTTTGGGCTGTTTAGTGTTCAAAGCTTGGTGGGATGTTCTGTGCCCACTTGGGAGATAAGAGTATTGAGAGAAATGCAGACAATAGAACCTGTCTTGTGAAGTTTCAGAGGGAAGTTTGCAAGTCTCTTAATGACTCTACAAGGGTTGTTTGCTATTTCGAATTAAGAATCTGAAATCAAATTTTGCTTTACTGGGACAACTGATGCTGGTCAGCTGGAACTGAGGAATTGGCGGTGAATAACAAGAGACCAGCATCATAGAGGTGAAATTTTCTGAGAAGAGTTCCCTTAGAGTCAACACATTTAGGCTGTGCTCCAGAGGTGACCAGTATTATACTCTATGCCTGCAATCAAACTTGGTGGTATCAGAGTCACGAAGTTGGTACTGGGTTTGAAGGATGGAGGGTCATAGAGAACAGATTCTGTTTGGCACTATGTGGCAGGGTTGGAGTACCCAAACAAAGCCCAGGAGAGGCTAATGGTGAGAGTACAGCACAGCTGCAGCAGATCCCAGCATTTTGGAGATGTCAATACCACGGAATAGCAATCAAGGGTAGCAGCATGTGTGGAGTGAAGCCAGCCAGAGCCTAGGAGGCAGTGTGTGTTTTGCAGTGAGCAGAGCCAGAGAAGTGACCCAAGCCCTTTGGAGGAGCCCAGAAAAAATTATGAGTGGATCCCAAATACTGGACAATGAATTATTTACCCCACTGGAGGTTTATTTTGCTTTAACATGATTGTGACTATGCCCTGATTCTTCTCTTTTGTAATAAGAGTATTTAACTTATTTTAATTTTATAGAAACCAACAGTTGAGTGAATTTTGATATTAAAAGTGATGTTGGTTTTGAAAAGAAGTTTTGGCTATTTTATAAGAGAATGGCCTTTTAAAGTATTTGAATTTGCAAGCCTGTGGCATTTTTTAGGTTTGTAAAATGTTTTATATTGTTGTGTTGATATTAAAGTGTGATCTTGGGGATGAACAGGAAAGGAAATGTATGGCTTAATAGTGATAGGCTTGTATGTCAAGTTGACAAGGGGTCAATTTGTTCTGGCTAGTTTTATGTCAACTTGACACAAGCTAAAGTCATCAGAAAGGTGAACAAGCCAGTAAGCAGCATTCCACCATGGCCTCTGCATTAGTTCCTGCCTCCTGGTTCCTGCCCTGCTGAGTTCTTGCCCTGACTTCCTTCAATGGCAAACTAGATGTAGAAGTGTAAGCCTAATAAACCCTTTTCTCCCCAGGTTGTTTTAGTCATGATGTTTCATGACAGCAATAGAAACCCTAGGGGTTTAAAGGTCAGAGAAAGGTCACAGTTATCACCCAACACACAGAAGTAGATTATCTTATTTCTTCCTGGATCCAGGTAGGTCATTTTATTAAGGCCAAGGATTTAAAAATAAATGGCTTACGACTTTATAAGAAACTAAAATAGCAAACACAAAAGAAATTTCCTTATGCAGTTTACTTCAGTGTCTTTAGACACATGTATACCTATAAAATATAGCTTTGTTGTGTGTGGATAGGGTTTCTTTCACATGAGGGATCCTATCGCATGTGCCTTTTCATGGCTTGCATTGTTTACCCCCTGTTTAAGTTCCTAAGGCACATCTAACTCTTTGGGGACACCATTAGGTGTCCAAAAAGTGGGGATTTGCCTCAGTATATGCCCAGTATATGCCTTCATTTACAGGTTTAACACGTTTTAAAATGTGGTGCCCAGGAGTTGAGGCCTGAAAATGGAACTTCTGTGTTAGATATTATGCACTTTTATCCTTGTAGCCAAAGCTGACAGATGCCACAAAGGTATCTGCACAATTGACATGCCACCCACAAGTGGATCTGAACGCCTATTGAGTATTTTCTCTCACAGTATAAGTTTTTCAAAATACGTTGTTTGAGTTACATTTTCCCTAGTTACCACCTAGTTTAGTATATTTGATCCCCAAAATGTCTTATATCATTTTCCTGTTTTATCCATTAGGAGGATTTTCTTATTTACTTGTGCTGTGTGGAGTGCTAATCCTAAAATATAAATTTAGCGGAACACGGATATGATGTTGGTCCCTACTGAAATAGCATCAGGAACTTTGTAAGCTGGTGAGCCAAATATATGGAGTCCTTCAAGGGACACAATCCTACAACACAAGTGACATCTATAATGTCAACTTAAGTTCACTGAGAAACATATTTTTTCCTAAGTCTAAAAGTTGAAAATCAAACCATAGTGCTTTTTCACTTTAAAATAATATCAATGGCTTACTGTTTTCATATAGGATAAATTTCAAGATCCTTAATATGGCCCATGTACTCCCTCAGTATGTGGGCTGTTTCCATCCCAACATTCCTTCTCCCACTTCCTCCCTGGGGATGCTATACCCATAGCCTCAACAAGGCTCCCTTCCCTTCTGGGAAATTCTCTTCCAAGCGATTGCTTGGCCAACTCTTCCTGTATTTTCAGACTTTACCTGAGTTTACTGTTCTTTCTTGTTCAGAACACAGCACAGTAAGATCCCTTGATTCTCTGTCATGTTCTTCAGTCTTTTTCTTCCATTACTCTTTTGACAACTTTGAAAGATATGTTTATTTGCACATATAGTTGACTGCCTCAGCAGATTGTTGGTCTATATAAACAGGACTATGTGTATTTTATTCAATACTCTACTCCCCAGCAATTCTTTATTAGTTGACCTTCAATCAATGACTGTGTGAGAATAAATACTACTAATTAATGGCTAAAATGACAACAACTTAAATTATAACTCATCAGTGCATAACTAAAGAATTGACTACTAATGAACCAGGAATAAGAATCCAATATTATTGTTTATTTTGTAACTCTAGTGAAAACCTGAACAGATCCTATTTCAAATAAAAGCCACAATATAAATCCTCTTGCACCAGAGTCTAATGTATTTATTTCATGTAACACTTGGGGCCTTTCTCAACAATCTGAAGTAGAAACTCAAGCATTGGATAAAGGAACTAAGAAACATGTCTAATAGAGACCTCACAGTTCTTAGTGGAGACCTCCACCCAAAACCCTTGGAATCTCTTCGCTGAGAATGCCTACTTTTAAAATACTTCCACTTCATGCTTACAGACTTATAAACTGTTACTAAATAACAGTTTTCACAGTTTCACAGCTGCCATGTATCAGGATTTGTTTGCTACAGTGAACTTTTAAAAAAACATAGGCTGTTTGTAATATTCTTTGTGCTCTAAGACCCAAGACTCACACATCAGCCAGGTTAGAAGAGATTTAGAAGTCTAATAAATCCTTCCCTGCTTTTCCGGCTCATGCATTATCTCATTCAATGGGGAGTGTGGGGGAAGGCCTGATTTATGTGTTTGCCAGTCCTGTCCACACCACCAAGGCTCTGGGGGAATTTTAGTTGCTGTTCCCTTTAACCGGATATAAATAGATTCCTTCAGTCAAGACCACAGTCAATATTTTTAACAAGTTTCTCTATAAATCTCTGTACAAAGAAGCAACATAATACCAAATCAGATTCTCTGGGGTTGTGATTTTTGTTTTTTTTTTGTTTTTTAACACATATCCAATCACATTTGAGTTTCAGGAAAACTTCTGTGATAAACATTTCAGTAGAAGGATACTTCTTAAGATTATTTACTTCTGATATAAGGACTCTAGACAAATGCAGCAGCGATGCTTGCCAACTGGTTTTACAGTCCTTTCTTGCTTATAAAATAGCTTGTAGCATTAAATCTTATATACAACAGTGAGCACAGGGTATACAAACATCCTTACTTTTCTATGGAGGGTAACTCACCATCCACAAAGTGACCTCAGATAGAAACCCAGATTCTTACTATACTAAATCTCCCATGTCATTTATTTCCTACATGACCCTCTTGGTCGCTGTGCTAGTTACTTCTTCATAGCTGTGATGAAAATACAGGAACAAAAGAAGAGAGGAAGGAGTCATTTTGGATCCTAGTTTCAGAGGCTTCTAGTCCCTCCAAAAGGCATGGGGAAAGTGTCTTACCAGTTAGGGGTGGTAAGAACATGTGGTGGTAAGGATTAAAGGTAAGAAGTGCTGCTTCTTGTGCCCCCCTTCTGAAGTCTCCCCCTAAGTTTTGCTGTGGGGGACATTTCATATTCTAATCTTCACAACGACCCATTGTCTACTCCACATCCTACAACTATTGTCTTAGTAATGGCAAGGGATTCGGTCCTGTTTAAAAATCTCTTGCATCTTCAGTTTTATCTCACTCAGCCAGCTTCCTCTAAGCTGTAAGAGAACTCTTTGTAAACTAAAACGTCTTAGTTAGATTTTCCATTGCTGTGAAAAGACACCGTGACTAAGACAATTCTTAGACAGGAAAACATTTCATTGGGGTGACGTGCTTACAGTTCAGAGATTCAGTGCATTATCATCGTAGTAGGACGTGACGATGTGCAGGCCGACGTGGTACTAGAGAGTTCGCTGAGAGTCCTACATCTTGCAGGCAACAGGATATGGTCTATTTCACTCGGCATGACTTGAACATACATGAGACCTTAAAGCCTGCCTCCACAATGACACACTTCCTCCAACAAGGCTCCTCCTACTCCAGCAAGACCATGTCCCCTAATAGTGCCATTTTCTTTCCCACCACCATAATTACATAGTATGTAACTATGTATACATACATAGTATATAGCTTCCCTGAGTGATAATTTGTAAGGTAGACAAATATCTCTGAAATCTGGCTGCCATTTTCCCTATCCTCATCTCACTGACACTAGTCAACATAGGCAAATGGTCTTGAACAGTCACCCAAAGTTACACAACAGGACAGGGTCCTTTCTATGTGTGCCTGCCATATTTCTTACTTCTTTCCTTTATCTTCTTCCTTCCCTCCTCACTTCCTTACTAAAATAAGTAGTATGCTGTTTGGTGCTAGTCAAGGCATTGAATGATCAACCTCTAATTTTACTAACTAGTTAGTGTTTATTGAGTTTTCTATGTTTTAAGCTAGGCTATGATCTTTATATTTATTACTGGAATATTTTTTAAAGAGCTCAAGGAGATAGACAGCATTATCTATACCTTTCTTTTATAAGTGAAAAATCAGTCTGAAGAGTAGCTAAGATACTTGTCCAAAATCTCCTAGTCAGTGAATCCATTCATGATATGTGTTCAGCCATACATTCCAAATGGAAATGTTCCCTTTAATATAATTTCATTTTAGCATCTTAATGTACCAAAACTTGTATTTTTTGCATACTGTATCTCTATCAGAATTATGTATGCCCTTTTGATTCCCAGATCCTTGGAAATGTTTCATTCACATTGATTTTCTAATTTTTTTATTTTTCTTTTTTTGTTTTTTGAGACAGGGTTTTTCTGTATTGTTTTGGAGCCTGTCCTGGAACTCACTCGGTAGACCAGGCTGGCCTGGAACATACAGAAATCTGCCTACCTCTGCCTGTCAAGTGTTGGGATTAAAGGCGTGTACCACCAGTGCCCGGCCACATTGGATTTCTTATGATGAGAATATAGGATGATATTTTTATTTTGTTTTTAAATCAGTATGTGATAGAACAATTATGACCAGATGAGAACAAATATTGCCTATTCATTTACAAACCAGCGAATTCAAAACTTGTTTTTTTGAGCAAAAGTGTCAGTAAATATTCCCTAAACAACAAATATTGCTTAACTAGATGTTATTATAATGATTGCTTTGCAACTACAGATTAATAATTTTTTATTTTTGAGGCAGAGTTAGTATAGCTCTGGCTGTCCTGGAACTAGCTCTAGAGACCATGCTGGCCTCAAACTCGCAGAGATCTGCTTGATTAAAGGCATGTGCCACCACTCCCCAGCCTTTTTTTTTCATGAAAGCTATGTGGAATTCAACCTTCCACTGCTGTGTTTCTGAACTTAGAGGATTCTCGTCATTGGTGCTGTGGTCACTTGTCTTACACAGTGTATAACAGTATAATATTGTATGGGCAATGAAGAATGCAACTCAATAAATAAACTAAGTAAAGTGTTGGCTTAATACCTGTGATAGAAAGACTTTTTACTTTAATTTTATAAGCATTTTGTTTGTAATCTAAGTAAAAAGAAAAAATTATAAAATATCTGTCACTTACCAGGCCAGCAGTGACAAATGTAGCTGCTAACAGTGTCTTCACAGGTAGCATTATTGTGACAGGGCTTTGACCAACAAAGAGGCATCAAGGTCTCACAGTGTGTCCCTGTGAATCCACTCCTTGTGCAGTCACAGTGGTAGCTAGATAGTAAATGAAAATTTCATGTCAACTCTTGGTCATCTTGAAACCAAACCTCTTTATTCTGTCTCTATTTGTCCATCATCCTGACCCCAATGGCATAGCCTTCATACTTACCTCAAAAGCACCATGGAATTATCTCTGTGGACCTGAATGGTTACGTGTTTCCATAACAACAGCTTATCATTATTGATTAAAAAAAAAAACAACAGTAAAGCTTCATGCAACATTATTTGGAAGGCAGTTTAATCAAGCGTAAATTGAAGACAAGTCATAAGATCATAGTGATGATTAAATATATAGATATATATAATATATATTTCATATATATATACATCTCATTCAGGGTACTAGGTTACTACTAAATGATATAGTAAATAGAATTATTAGTATTTTTGAAGTTAGCAGGTAATGATTTGCACCAAATAAGGTTATTATAAAATCTATTTTTTTACTCATTAGAAGCACTCTTAAGTATATTGTGATTATAGTGGTTGTTGCTTTTTGATCCCATGAATATTTTAGTTTCTCTAGTTCTAAAAATTCATTGGCTAAAACTACCTCACAGTGACAAAATTCAATCTGATGGGGTGAGTTGTTGAATTTCTACTTAAGGAAACTCTTAATTTAGGTGATGTCTCCTCAAGGATTTAGTGTTATGAAAATTAAAGTGGATCTGCACACTTAGGTGAAATAGAAAGGGTGTTTAGAGGGGATGCTCCAACCATAGAACACTTATAAACCATCCCCTGTGACTGCGTATATTTATCACCGGTGTAGATATTGGATCATTTAAGGAGCTAGAAATGGCAGATTGCAAGGGACATAGTCTCAAATAGTTATGAAAAATCTATTCAGGGTTTTTGCTTAATTGAAAATAATAAAAAAAATAGGGCCAGATAGGTGACCCAATACATGAAGTCTCTAGCTGTGCAAGCCTGGGGTCCTGAGTTCAATTCCCAAACCCACATAATGTAGAAGGAGAAAATCAGCTTCATGGAGTTGTCGTTCCCAGATCTCCACATGTGTCCAGTGACACAGGCAACTACCCTAACACACACACACACACACACTCACACACACTTACACACACACTCACACGCACACACACGCACACACACAATAATAATAATGATAATAATAATAACAAGAAGAAGCAGAAGAAGAAGAAGAAGAAGCAGCAGAAGAAGAAGAAGAAGAAGAAGAAGAAGAAGAAGAAGAAGAAGAAGAAGAAGAAGAAGAAGAAGAAGAAGAAAGAAGGCTGGAGAGATAGTTCAGTGGTTTAGAGCATGTACTGCTCTTCCAAAGGTCTGGAGTTTGATTCTCAGTACCTACATCAGGTGGCTCACGCCTGCCCATAACTCCAGCTTCAGGGAATGTGACATCTCTGACCTCCTTAAATACCTGCACCCATGTGCACATTCTCTCAACACACATATACATACACTTAACTAAGAATAAATAAATAAAAGAAAAAGTATGCCACCTGAAATATAACCCTAAATAAGCTGTTAAAAATAATAATTTACTCTGTGTGGGACAGCAGAGACACATGTCCTATATTAAAGGAGCATCACTAAGTTTGGAAGTTCCTTTGATATGAAAACATCGAACTTCCCACAGGATTTACTGTTTAAAATGAACTGAAACCACATTGGTTGGTCCTCACGAAAATTAGGTATTAGGAGATATCACAGTAAATGATGGAATGAGTCATGACACCTTTACTATAAGAGAACAGAAGGTACAAGTTTCCATCCTGTGAACCCAAACCGTTGTGATGTCTGCCTTGATGCATTCTAGAGAGAACAGTGCACACTGCAGAGAGTTTCCATTCCCTTGGAAGTTTCAGTCATTCTAATCTCCCCATCTCTGTGGTGTCCGGTTAGCTGTTGCCAGGAGTATAGACTCCCACAACAGGTTCATTACTTTGTTGCAAGAAATAGCCAAATCAAGACATAGAGTATGATTTAAAATTGTGTTTCATATTTTTGAAAAGAAAGGTTCAATCTCACTGCTCTATTTAAAATCTCATTATCTTATTAAATAACTTATGGATGTATTTGAAACACACATGCCTTTCATTACATTCATTTTGAGTTTTAGTCATTTTGAAATTAGATTTGAAGTAAGTTATGGCTTTTTTTGTGTGTGCTATTGGGATTGAACCCGTGGCCTTGCACACACTACGCTTGTACTCTACCACTGAGTTAAATCCTCAGCCCTGTGTCTGATTTATTAAAAAGAGGAAAATGATTTTATTTCTACTCTTACAAGAAGTTAATGATGTGAACTCAAGGGAGCATCTAACATCTCTATACTTCAGATTCCTTATTACAATTAAGGAGCCATATATATTATAGTTTGGGAATAGTAATGCTCACTGTGCTTCCCACAGGGCTGCTATCAAATGAGGGAATTCTAAGTTCAATGCTATTAAACATTGTTCTGCACTTGACAATTCAGTATTCATAGTTTAAGCGAGTCTGAGAATGTTTCTTACAGGGATATATTATTTGATGTGAACTCAGCTATTGCTATACAAATTAATTATATTTATCACATGAAGGTATAATGTAGTGTTGCCCTTTTCCTCCAAAACCAATGAGAGACTCATATTTGGAGGAGAATTGAGTTATACTTTCTAATAATTATGCTTTCTCAAATAAATTCACCCAATTCCCAAAACCCTTGGAAAGCCAAGATATATCAGTTTAATATCATTGCTCTTGCAGCCATATTTACAGACATCTTCTAAAGGATTCATTTTTTCCATTTGATTTTCATAAATATAAACCTTATGTTCACAATTTTAAGAGTTGACATCATATTCTTTTGCATCTTTCTTATCTATAACAGGTTCATGACATGGAGTTTAGATGTTGGCACTTTTCTATGATAAATGTGGTTCTCAATCATTGCAAGAGTGCCTTGGAAAACTTTCACTCAGGAAAGATGTCCCCCCAATGTTTCTTTTTTTCTTTTGGTAAAATTGAATGTTGTAACTTTTCATTACTTGATGTCACTTGCGATGCAAATGGAGGCTATGAGAACTTGAAATTCACCACAGTTGCTCTTGTGCTTGGTCTCTGTAAGCCATCACTCATCTATAGAAGACTTACCTGTTTCCTCCATCCATGCACAGACCTCCATGGAGACATGGGTGACTGGCACATTCATCAAAGTCGAATTCACAGTGATCTCCAAGGAATCCAGGTGCACAGTCACAGAAGTAAGCCCCAAGAGCATCCTGACACGTAGCACCATGTAGACAGGGCTGGGATTCACATTCATCAATTTCCAACTCACAGTTCACACCTTTGAGAGAAGCCAGCGCAGGAAGCCAGAAAAGTTTTAGCAAAGTGAAAATATTTTAGCTGCTTGGCAATACTTTATTTACTAAAGCACTCATCAAATGTTATGTTACCCAAAATAATTTTCCTCCTCTCCTCTAATTGCTATTAACTCTGTGTGCTTGTGGGAAGTTGCAGAGAGCAGAGCAGCTGTCTCTGCAAAGACTGCTGCCTACAACAGCTTGTGTCTTTTTTTGTCTGTGGAAACAAATAAGTTATTTTTAGAAAAAAGTTATTGTTAACTCTACTTTTGTTGGAATACTAAAATGTGCTGTTAGTTTTTTTCATTATTTTGAAACACTTAGTTTGGTTAGGCTGTGTAAAGGCTCAGGCAGGCTGGGCTGATGTCTTAGCAGAGAAAATCACTGGCTGTGTATTCTGGTTGATTTGTATGGAGACTTTAAGAGCAGAGAAAAGGACTGTCTGTGCTTGCCTGTCCTTGGTGAGTGTGACTCTAATCCAGGATAGCAAATCATGCACTAAAACACTGAGACACTCCAAAGTGCCTCAGAGGTAGTACTAAGCTTGATTTTATTTTATTTTCTTGATCAAAAATGCAGTAGCAGGTATACTATTTATGACTGTCACTGGATTCTGCAAATGCGCAAATTAAAAAGTTACCAGTATTTAAAATTTGGCTTGTTTTTTTGTTTTATTTTTTTTGAGAAGAAAGCACTCTATCAGTAAAAATAGAAAGTTGTCTAATAGCGTTAGAACCACCCTCATTTACTATTCCTTTTGTGACCCTCAGCATTCATCATCTGGTATCCCTAACCATCTTATCTCTTCATCATTTCTTATGTGATCCCTAAAAATATACATCTTATTATGTCAATATTTGCAAGAAGTTTTTAAATAGGTTCTCCCAACATCTCCAGAATAGAGTTTCTTTACAATTCTGTCACAGCTTCTGACAGATGGGAGTTCCCACTGTGTGTGCTTGCAATGAGGTGATCTGTCCCGACATGGATGTGCCCCTTACTAGCAATGCCTCATTCATCACTCCCCACTTCCAAAGAATTGGTTTGAGTGGAACATAATTCTGGAAGCTACACATAATTGCTTACTTAAGCCCCCTCACCATCTCCTCAAAATGCCATGTAATATTAATGCATTTGATATTATACTTACAGTTCACCTACAGAATGGTGAACTCTTAGATGTAAGCATTTGTTATTTTCTGTGGCATTGGTATATCTTATTGAACAAAGCATATGATCAATTAATTTTCAATGACTATTTGTTGCAACTGTGAGGTAATCCACTTCTTTCCATGAACCAGGGCAGAATTTCTAGGTGCTCTAGTAAAGCTGGGTCTATTGTCCCACAGGAACAGTCAATTTATGGCTTTCACAAACATTTAAAAACAAATCATGTTTTTTCAAAGACTGTCCTAAACTTCTGATGCACATTTGAGATATTTGTCCCTTATTATGTATGCTCTGACAGTTGGATATCTTTGTCATCATTCTGTGTCACTAGATAATAAACATCATATGCTATCAGGGTGGAGCAGGTCTCACACAAGCTGCTGTCCTCATCACTCACTGCAGCAGGCAGAGAGCCACAGGACACATGAAAGGTGGCCATGACAACCCACCCTGAACATCTTGCTCATTATCTGTATAGCCCATGCTCTGGAAATTGTTGTGCTCTAGGTTTACCATCCAATCCTAAATTTCAGATTCCACATAATGTGTGTTATCCCAATGTATTCTATGTTTATTTAGAGTAAGAAGTATGCTTGATACTTATGGGTTCCTTGTGTAGATTCATTGTACAGTTATTAATGCATGTCTGTGACTTGAAAGTCTGTGCATAGAGTGCAGGTAGCTCTTAGTTCTGTTACTGCTATGAACAGTTTGGTCTACCCTCACACACACATGCAACAACAAAGTTTTAACCAAAAATGCAAGTAAAAGTCCTTTCTTAGCTACAGGTCCTTTGTCTCATTCACTTGTTTTATTGTCTTAGCTAAGACTTCAAACTCTATGCTGAACAAGAGAGTGGAAGTTGACATCAGAGAGTTCTCAAAAGATGAAATAAAATGGCTAAGAAATCTTTTTTATTTATAAACAATCTTATTTTGAATATCAATACCAGTTTCTTCTCCCTCCCATTCTTCCATCCCCCATCCACTCCCCAGGAAGGTTGATGCCATCCATGAAGGATCATCAAAGTCTGTCATATCATTTGGGGGAGGACCTAGGCCCTCCCCCATGTATCTAGGCTGAGAGAGTAGCCCTCTATGGGGGAATGGGCTCCCAAGTTCATTTGTGCGTTAGGGATAAATACTAGTTCCACTGTCAGAGATCCCATAAACGGTGCAGGCCTCCTAAGAAAAATTTTAAAAAATATTTAACATCTTTATCCATCATGGAAATTCAAATTAAAACTAACTTGAGATTTCATCTAAACACAGTCAGAATGGCTGATTACAAAATGATAACAAATGCTAGAGTGAGTATCAGGAAAGGGTAGTAGTTATTCACTGATGGTGGGTGTACAAAATGGTACGGCTTCCTTAGAAATCAGTATGTGGAATCTCCAGAAAGACAGAGATAGATCTACTTTATGATTCAACTGTATCACTCTTGGGCATATACTCAAGGAACTCCCCATTATAGTATAGAAATATCCTCTCATCAATGTTAATGGCTATTATGCTCATAATAACCAGGAAATGAAAACAGCTTAGATTCCCACCAACTGATGAATGGATAATGAAGAATGTAGCATGTTTACATAGTAGGATATCATCTAGCTATTAAGAAAGAGGGAATCATGAAATTCACATGTAAATAGATAGAACTGGAAATGATCATTATGAGTTAGGTAACAGAGACCCAGAACAATAAACTTTGAATGTTTCCCTTCATTTATTGGTATTATGTTTGGATACTCAGATTAGCATATCTAATATGGACTATCCATGGAGGTCAGGAAATTAGTAAGCAGCAATGATGGTAAGATACTGTTGCTGAAGACACCACATATTCGAGTTGTACACTATGGAGAAATCGAGATGGAAATGACCTGCAAGCTTCATTTCTAATGCATAGCTTTCATAGCAATTGAATGTGCTATGCTTGCTGTAAGAGAAGAGTCAGCAACAGCAATACCCAACTGAGATCTCTACAAGCTACAATAATGAGGGGCCTGATAAGACATGTCCATGGGTACAGCAGTGGTATGGATGTCATGGGAGTAACCAATTGCTTTTGTGTGATTGCTTAGTTACTTTTCTTGTTTCTGTGACGAAACTAAAAAAAGCAACTTATGTTCAAGGGTCCAGCCTCTCATGGTGGAAGAAGCTTGAGGTGATTGGCACATTATATATGCAGTCCAGAAGCAAAGAGTGCTAACATATTGAGTTCAGTTAGCCTTGTCTTCTTTTATGGCATCCAGGACTCAAATCCAGAAAATAGTGTCACTCAGTTTTATAGTGTATCTCCCATCTCAATTCCATTAGACAATATATTCCCTCATAACATGATCAGAGGATAATCTGATCAAAACAATCCACGAATGGCATGTCTGGAAGCTTGTCTCTAGGTGATCTCAGATCCCGTCAAATTGACACTTTACCAGCAACATGTGGGAATTTGTGACTAGTACGTCTTGAGTCTCATCTCAGATCTATGGAATCAGAATCTGTATTTCCATGCCAAGTTCTTCAGGTGAGTTAGATTCATGCTAAAGTTTGAGAGCCATTGGTACGCATTATAAGTTCATTAAGTTGGAAAATTTCAATACATGTTTTTATTAGAGGCATCAAATGTTCCCTAGATAAAATAGGTGGGGAATATTCTGTCTTTGAAAAATAGTAAGTGAGCCTTGTTCCTAGTTACTGTCATGACTGCCTTTTCCTTTTATGCCCACAATAACTCTTCTAGGTGAGAGTCTAAACTATGAACTAAGTCCAGTTTTAAAAATATAGTACTTGGGATTATAGATAAAAACTACGAATTGCACAGACATTTACCTGGGTGCCATGAATCCAGACTCACGTCTTCATGCTTGCTCTCGCAGGCACTTTACCAGCTGAGCCTTAGCTCTTCACTGGAAATTTCAGTACAATTTTTACTCAATTCTTATTATTCAAATGTTTTATTATCTAATTGGCCTTTCCCTGCCCTGCTACAATGTGGCTTTCTAATATAGTGAGCATCTTAATGGAAAAGGTATACACTATTAATCTGGTCAGTTTTAAGGAAGACCTCAATTATATAAGCATTCGTTACATAAACTTGAACTAAAACCAGACACATGCTCCAAACCAAAGTCCTTTTCGCTAAAGAAAGCTTTAAGTACTTTCTTTGAGCTTCAACTGTAGATGTCGCTTATGCAAACACACTCTCACCTAAAGCTTCAGTTTGGCTCTGGCTCAGCTCGTTTTTTGCAGCCAATGAATCACAGCTCATGAAGTGCAGTAGAGGGCACCGAGGATTCACACAGTGTGAACCCTCTCCACATGCTGTGACTCTTTTCCCCGTCCTACCTCTCTGTCTTTTAAAATTTATTTCCTATCTTCGCTTTGCTGCTCACAAGCACACAGGCTTTTTCCACCCTGTAAACCCAGTTCTTTATGATCACTCTAAATCCACATGTGGTACACAGCAGCTGGGTCACTGTAACGGTTTCCAAGATTCATTAGCAAATCGAGGTAGAGTCAGGGAACTCAATAGCATCCATGCCATTGTTCACACTCTTCTTTTTCCCTCATCAACTTTGGCTTTCCCCTTGATCCTACCTGTCTTCTCTGGGATTTTTAGAAACTGGTCTAAACTGCTACAAACATCCGTATTGATGGGCTAGCTATGAAGTAAACCAACAACAAAAGTCTCTAAATTAAGTTCGTATGATTTTAAGTTCCTATAATTTCTGGCTCCCATCCCTAGATATTCTTAGAATTATCAATTAAATTTGACCCTCTGAAGGTAGGGTCTGAACATTTCTGTTCCACATCTCTGGGTAATTGGTGTTCAGGGATGAGAGCCAAGACAGGCTACCAGAACACAGTCTACAATACTTCTGTAAGTGGTGGATGAACCAATGAACCTTTGACTGTGTCCATGGAGCTGAGAAAATCTAGCTGACTATGCATAGTCTTGATTCTTATGGCCTTATGTGTATTTGATATATGTTCTATTGTATAATTACATTTTAAATGTGGCTCATAAGAGGCTGTTATAAAATTTTGCCTGGTTGCTTAGAAAACAAGTGAAAAATATAGCCTTATGGGAACAAAATCATTTTACCAGTGGACTTGCTATATTTAGGCATTTTGCCAGGGAAAGAATATTGGCTGTTTTTGAGCCCAGAAGAGACATCAGGTAACAAACAGTACAAAAGAACTAATTGAAGAGAGAAGTGCATTGTTGGTAAAACTGCAATCATTTTCATATTTTGAAAACACCCTTGACATTCTTTATGTCTAAGTTTAGGCTACAGAAAAGATTTCAAATTAGTGTTCAGTCCTAAATAGGTCATTTATCCCATCACTTCTAATGTTCAGGGAACATTTAGAAGACAGGTCAGAAAGCAAATAATTTCTGGAAGATAAGGAGAAAGGTTGCAAAATGCCACCTTCTGAGTAACACACAGCCATAGCCATTAGAATTGCAGACTCACAGTGGTTGGGAAAGCATGTACTGGGTCAGCAGCCAGGCAGGGACTCAGGTGGCCTTATGCCTCACTGCTGAACTGTTTGTTCCCAATAGAATCTGCAAGAATGTCATTTGTGTACCCACTAGCGACCCCACCAGGAGCCAATGAGTAATTGCATTCCAGTGTGCCCTGAGATGGCCCTGTTTACACTAAATTGGTCACAAGCCCAAACAAAACAGAAAGTCATGTATCCAGGCAGGGACCTGGGATGGAGAAAGGAGAAATGATAGGGATAGGTTAGAGATAAAAATGGGTGGTGGGAGAGGTTAGTTATAGACATATATGAAATTGTTAAAACATTGTGTTCCTTTTTTTAAAGGCAGAAAAGAATCAGTGAGTTTGTAAGCAATCAATGTGATGTTCCATTATCCTGTCTGTCTAAGAGATGGAGAAAGAACTGGCTTGCTGTCCTTTATCTGCTAGAGCACACATAAGCACTGGAACCTACCAATTTGTACCCTGCTTTCCTAATAGGCTGCATGAAGTATTGGGCTTTGGGCCATCGAGGGTAGGCCTGAGGCAGGGATAAAGAAATAGAAGGGACAGAAAATCAGAACTGTCTGTCCTGAAAGTGGCTCCATGAAGCCCATGGACTAGATCCAAGGGTATTTGTCACCTTATTTTCAATAGAAATACTTGTAAATTTTTATGGATGTAACATAATGTTTAAATATGTATATACATTGTAGACTGACTAAATCAAGCTAATCAGCACAAGTGTTCACTCTTTTTCTTTCTGTGATGAAAACACTTAAAATTCTTCTTACAGTTGGCTAAAATACACACTATCAAGTATAATTCTTATGCACTAGAACCCTAAAACTTATTTTCCTTACCTGCTGTCACCTTGAACTCATTTACCAACATCTCTTTCCTTAGGCATGCTCCACCTTCTACCAGTCTATGGCAGCCACCATTCAATACCCTATTCTTTGTGTCAGCTATTTTGGATTCTACATATGAGGTTGGCTCTTCGTGCCTGGCTTACTTCATTTAATGTAATGTCTTCTAGGCTCATCCAAAATGCTGCAAATGCAGAATGCATGCGACCAAGAAGACACATGAAACTATTTTCAACATTTCTGATCAGCAGAGGAATACAAACTGCGATACTATCTTACAACTGTATTATTGGCAGTGTTTAAAAACGATGAACAACAGTAAGTGCTGGTAAAGTTTTTGGGAAAGAGAACTCCATTTTGTTGGCATGTTATGAATTTTGGAAAACAATATGGACAATCCTCAAAAAACCTGAAAATTTGTTTACCATGTGATCTAGTGACCCCGCTACCGAATATATAGCTTTAAAAATGTATTTTAAAGAGATGCTTGCCTTCACTCATTCACTGAAGCACTATTCACGACAGCCAAGATACCATAGCAACCTAAGTATCCATCTACTATAGATAGGCTTTACTTAAATATTGTATCTATATACAAAGGAATACTTCTAAACATTTGTAAAGTCTGAATCTGAGCAAATGGTTATGTAGAGTTCCTACTGAAACTGCAATAGTGATGCTACACATCTGCTCACAAACTCCGTGACTTCACTAGGTTTTCAGTATTTAGCAAGCTTTCTATATAGCTATTAGTATCTTCTAGAACTTGGCCAGTTTCATAAGTGATTATATATATATAAGAAAGAGTAAGCCAATCATGTATTCAGGGTGCAGATATAATGGCACTTACCAGAATACTCTTGAGGGCAGACACAAGTGTATCTGCCTATCTCATTGAGGCACACAGCCTCATTCATGCAGGGATCAGAAACACATTCATCCACTTCCAAGTCACAATGCCTGCCTTGGTATCCAGGCACACAGAAGCAGGAGTAGCCATTGATTCCATCCTGGCACACAGCCCCATTGTGGCAAGGGCTGGACGCACATTCATTGTGATCTGTCTCACAGAACCTTCCAGCATATCCAGCAGGGCAGATACAGACAGGGTGCTCTGGGTCTTTATGGCAAGTGCCTCCATGTTGACAGGAGTTCCCTCCACAGGAATGGATGGCAGTTTCACAGGTTAGCCCACTGTACCCCAGAGGACATTGGCACAAGAAGCTCCTTTCTCCTGGAGTAGGCACACAAGTGCCATTTCCTTGGCAGGGACTGGACAAGCAAGGGTCTTTCACATCTTCACAGTCTTTGTCCAAATTTTTGCTTGTGTTTGAACAACAATTGTCTTGTGGGAAACCCTTGCACACAGAATTGTTTTGACAAGAATTTGAGAGGCACCTGGTATTGTTTTTATTGCAAAATGAATCTAAAAGGAAATACAAAATATCAAGATTAAGTTTACAAATGGTTGAGGGAAAAATTAAAGAACACTCTTTTCAAACATACTCATTATTGAAACCCATCGTTGGATATGTTCTAATGTTGAATTTTAATTCTTCATTTATCCAGAAGTTTTTTATACTTGTTAATAAGAAACTAAGACACAGGATCGGGAGATGCCCCAATCAGCAAAATTCTTGCCTTGCAAGCATGAAGATCCAAGTTCAATTTCCCAGAACCCATATCTAAAACTCAAGGTTTGAGGGCAAGAACTTACAATTCCAGCAATTGGGAGGTGGATCCTTGGGACTCACTGAACTCTCAACCTAGCCTAATCAATGAGTAGCAGGCCAATGAGAGACCTTGTCCCAAAAAAGGGTGGATAACACCTAAGGAATAACATCTGAGGTTGTCTTTGGCATTTACATGTGTGCACACATCCACACTTGCTCATATGCACATACATAAGTGCACAATGCAAACACACACATGCATATACATGCACACACGCAGGCAGGCACACATGAACAGGAAGCAAAAATGACTTCACCGCATTTCTTCTGCATCTTCCTTTCCTTGGGTCTAAGTGCAGTTGAATAATGAGAGTTAAATGCTGTTACTCCCTCCAACTACTCAGAATTGTGAGGCCTACCTTCTGTCATGAAAGGCTGTGGGAAATACTATATCACATACAAAGTCATTTGCAAATCCGCACCTTAACTGAAACATATATTTAGATGAATCCCATTTCTTGATTTTTGGCTAGCTGTTTAATCAGCATCACCATTGTATGGTTCAAAAACCAAGCATAGAAAAATTAAAAATAATAAAAATTCTGGCTGTCTAATGGGGTACATTGTGCTAAATACTCCAGGTCTTCACACATAGCATTTCTCAATCTTACAACACACAATAGCTACATACACTTCACAGACTGAAACAGATAATGTCCCACTGCAAATATACTGAAGCCCAGGATGCAGACTTCATCTTCCAGAAACCTTCACTGTTCTATGAATCCTTTTTGAAACGACAATTGAAATAATGGCCTCAAGAAGAGCAATAATTCTATGACTCTATTTAAGTTGATAGGATACATTTCTAGTTTAACATCTGAAACATTGCATGCTGGAGGATATATATAGAGCATCTTAGAACTCCCGAAAAGGCTCTGTTTGATGTTCCCTATAACACTTGGTAAAGGGATGCAGATCTCAGTTTGAAATCAGACTGAGGTATGTGATGAGACATTGTCATGTTTGTGTGTGCATACATGTGTGAGTGGGCATGCACACACACACATGCACACAGTAGAGGAAGTCATTTATAAATAAGAACTATATGGCTAATCACAATACAAATTTAATAGAAAGAGAGGAAAACATTTAAGATTCCAAATTTACTCTTTCACTTGATTTTCAGGAAGATTCTGGGGGGCCATGAATGAAAATGATGATGAAAGCAAGAAAGAAGACATTCATTCTAGGAAATCTTGTCAGAAATATAACAGGACAAAAACAAGCAGATTTTTACTAAAAAAGAAATCCCAACACCCCAGATGTGCCATCAGTATCAACATTAAGCAGAGCGGAAAGTGGAGCCTCATGAGGGATGTGTCAGAGAAGAAAAATGCAAATAAACAGACCAAGTGTAAAACTCAAAGTAACTTTTTCTGCTATCAATTTTGGGAGAATGCTAAAAGCTGTACAAGAAAGAAAATGAAATCAGTGTAGGTCAGTAAGGGAAATCAATACACAGACTGAAGAGAAAATAAAATTGCAACTTATGAGAATAACACTTTGCTATAAAATAATATAAAGCTGTAACTGATTTTGGGAGCAATAGGTTATAGTGGGGTGTGTGTGTGAGAGAGAGAGAGAGAGAGAGAGAGAGAGAGAGAGAGAGAAGAGAAAGAAGAGAGAGAGAGAGAGAGAGAGAGAAGAGAAGAGAAAGAAGAGAGAGAGAATGACCTGATGAAGAATTAAATCAACTTTTGCCACAGAAGGACGCAATCTTTTTTTGTTTAGTTTTATGTTGCTTTTTTTTCCTTTGTTTTGAGGCAGGATCTCTCTACAGAGCCCTGGCCATTCAGGAACTCATTATGTAGACCAGGCTGGTCTCACAGAGAACCACCTGCCTCTACCTCTGGTGTGCAGGGCTTAAAGGTGTACACAACCATGCCCAGCTAGGATGCCAGTACTTTGTGTATGTAAAGATGAAAGAAACAGCCAGGAAATATAAATGAAGACAAAAAGAAATTGTTAGATGTGGCTCAAGGACTTTGCCCTGGAGTGTGCAATTCTGGCATGAGAAGCAGATACATGCTTCATCATAGCCCTGGGGATTCTGAAGGGATTACTGAAATACATTTGATAAAATATTTACAAAGCAAAGTAGGTGGATTTAAATACAGTCCACACCCTGTCTCCCATTTTCTATTTCTCTGTACACTGTAATACCCTTTAGTGAGGCTACCAGCCACACATTTTGCTCTCCTTGTGCCTGGTACCACTGACACTGTCTACCATGTAGGTTTGTGGATGTGTCCTTAGATGCTAACAGTACAGATGCAGTTCAGCATACATGTACTGACTAATGAGAACATTATCTGTCAGAAAGAAAATTCTGTTCTTCTAATTTAGAAAATATTTTCAATTTACTACATTTTATTTGGCATGATCTCACCTAGGCAACCCTCAGACTTGAACTCTTGGGGATAATAAACATGTGTCACCATGATTGGCTAACCTAACACTTTCTTGAGATGGACAAATTGATTAAATTGTTAAATAAGCAGCTAAGGAAACACAACTAAAGCACAAACTTATGATGAGTGTTTATGACCTAAGGATCATGGCCATTCCAACTTTTCCACGAATCTTGGTGAAAAAAGTCACCCACATTTGCCCGGCACACTACATTCTCTCAGTGAAAATGAAAAGAGTTTTAATAATTATTATGCTTTAGAGTCAGACTTATTAATAAGATTTAAATTCATCACTGGGATTTAGTTCCTTGGAAAATGGGTGTAGGGAATTTGACTTTCATAATAGCTTTCTAACTGAGAGTAGGAAACTTCACTGCGTGGTTAATGTTCAGAACAAGACAGAGGCTACAGCATCCTTTCCTTGCAGTGAAGTTCGCCATCTACTGACGCTCTTAAATTCCTCATCGGGGAGATTTAAACTCCCCTTTCTTCCTTCCTTTCTTTTCCTGTCCCCCTAAGAGCAGCAGAATTCCTTCAAGGAAAATGTCCTGAGTGATGCGGGGGGACACATCAGCAGCAGGCCTGGTCCAATCGAGGCACCGACAGGGCCCTGCTGCCGGTCCAACAGGACATTCCCCTCTTCCTTGGAGATGCCCTTCAGGAGCCCCGAGGGCTGACAACAACGGCAGAAGGGCGGGAAGCATTTCTCATAGTTTTTACACGTAACTGTTTTTTGCATTTCCCACTTCCATTTTAAAATGAAATAATTACATTTGTTGAAAAGTAGGAATTAATTTCACCAGTTTTAAAGATATTAAAGACTCATACTTTTCTGCATGTGTGTCACTATATTATTCTGTATTTAAATTTATATGGAAAACAGGCACTATGACAATTTAGTTAATTGTGAGGTGGACCATATTTATTCACCTGGTGGAACAGGAACGAATCTTTCCAGGGGGGAACAGTTTATTTTTTCAGAGGTTGCTGTCGGCATCGTTTATTCTTTGGTCTATCCTGGTCTTCTGTCTACTTACCAAAGAAGCAGATAGCTGAATGCGTTTTGAACATTCAATTATCTGAAAATCATCAAGTTATTGCTTAACATCACCTCTTCATTAGGGTTTCTATTAACCAATAAAGAGCGGATGAAGCCAGGGGGACAGTGGGGCAGCACCCAGCCTGTCGCTGCCTGCACAGCTTCTGTCTCTTCGTCTGAGAAACTTGAGTAGGACAATTTGTCTCGTAGAGGTCTTCATGGAGATCACGTCATTAGATTTTAATCCTTGACAAACATACTAAGCACTAGATAAATGCTATAAATGAAGTTGTTATGATGACCTAACTAACCATACAGAGAACAAGATGTGTTGTGTTGGTCTCAGCACCTATTTATCCCAATACACACTCTTACACTTATTACCTGAGTCTGAATTTTGCAAGCTATGATTCTTTAATGATGTGTCTTTATACAAAGCATGCACATGTATATGACACCAACTATAATCACTACATGCAATTCATATGTAAAGACATAATGATTAATATGCATTATAAACATTTTCATTTAAGTATTCTGTTACTATCACTTTCTCAGTCTTAGGATTTCAGACTCTCTAATAATGTCTGCCATTCATTTTTATTGGTACTGAACTTAAGCATCAAATTCACTCTCTGTCATCAGAAAGATGGGAAGGGGGAATGTATGGAACTATTACATATAGTATTTGGGTCAAAATAGCAATTTTATTAATTGTCGATCTCAGTGTCTATGCTACTGGTGTTATGCTCAGGAAGCCGTCTTCTGTACCAATTCATTCAAGGGTACCTCCCACTTTCTCGTCTAACAGGTTTAGTGTGACTGGATTTATGTTGATGTCTTTAATTCATTTGGACTGAAATTTTGTGCATGGTGATAGACATGCATCTATCTGCAGTCTTCTACATATCAGCATCCAGTTATGCCAGCACCATTTGTTGAAGATGCCTTCTTTTTTCCATTGTATAATTTTGGCTTCTTTGTCAAAAACCAAGTGTTCATATGTGTATAGGATAATATCAGGGTTTTCTATTAGATTCCATTGGTCTACCTGTCTATTTTTGTGCCAATACCAAGCTGTTTTCAGGACTATAGCTCTATAACAGAGCTTGAAGTCATGGATGGTGATGGCTCTGGACATTGCCTTGTTGAACAGGGTGGTTTTGGCTATCATGGGACCTGCTGAAGCTGAGAAGCCTCTGCAAGGCAAAAGACACAGTCAACAAGACAAAAAGGCAGCCCACAGAATAGGAAAAAATATTCACTAATCCCACATCTGATAGAAGGCTGATCTTCAAAATCTACAAAGAGCTCAAGAAGCAAGTCTCCAAAGCACCAAAGGATCCAATCAAAAAGTAGGGGACTGAATTAAATGGAGATGCCAGCATGAGACTGATCCAGACCCCCTGAATTTGGGTGTCAGTGAGGAGACTCAGGAAATCTATGTGGTTTTTGGGTAGTAGATCAGTATTTATCCCTGGCACACAAATGGACTTTGGGGACCCATCCCACAATGAGGGATGCTTCTTCAGTCTGGACATTTTGGAGAGGGCCTGGGTCCCCCTAGGAAAGAAATGACAGACTCTAGAGATCCCCCATGGAGGGCCTTACCCTCCCTGGGGAATGGAGTGGGAATTGGGTGAAGTGCTGGGGGGGGGCTGGGGAGAGGGAGTGGACATGGAGGGGAGGGAGAGGGAGCAGGGACTGACATGGGAAGCAATCTTGTTTCTAATTTAAATATATAATAAAGATGTGTAAAAATACAAACAAAAAATAACAATTTTAATGTGGGTATATTTAGCCAAAGTAAACTCCCCACTACTGTTTCAGTATTATATGCCCAATTATTTGGGTTCACATTGCTCAGAGGCATAAGTTTTACCTGGATTTATATATTTATTTTTGTTTTTCTCAGACTAGTGGGAAATGGCCAAGGACTTAGAGAACTCATTTATAAGGGATGTGCTAGCTTTGGTGTGGAGTAACTTTTGAAAATATGACAAGGCAGTGCTTTCTGTTTTAATTTTATTTCACATTTAACCACGCCAAATGTGAAAATAAATACAGGATTTATGGTTCCAAAATATGATTATACCAATAGCACTCAATCAATGGTTCCTGGTGTTTTATAGAGAAGATTAAATATTTACTAATGAGATGCTGTTAAAATAAACTAAGAGATGTGTGTTGGCAGAATCAAGACCAAATCAACAGGTCTAAGCATTTTTATTTATGAAAATGAGGGCATTTTCTGAATTCCCCTTAGTCTGGCTTTCTGCAGAGCATGAAATTCTATTCTAAGCCTAGGCTGGCTAGCGTTTGGTACAGGAGAGAAACATATTTTTATTCAAGACATAGTCAAAATGGCTTGCACATGGTAGGTAGTGAACAGAAAACTATTGAATAATGAATGAGGGAGCAAAAATAGCTGAATTCTCATTTAAGTCTTGTATGAAATTCTTACTTTGACCTCTTTTGGTAAAATCAAGCAGAACAAATCACCAGTTAAATCAGTCACTTTGATCCACTGTATGACATAATCCACATGGAACAGTTAAACTAAGACAATCCCTTCTCCCGTGTGTCTGCTGCATAGACAAAGCTAGGCATTCACTGTCATACATGCAGTTATTTCTGTGCATGTGGTCCCAGATACCAAATCAAGGCCATTATAATACAACAGGAAGAGGACAAACACATGGATAGCTAGCTAGATTCAAATTTTGGTTCAACTAACTTTCATCTCTGTGACTCTAGGAAAAGGATCATCACTAAGACCCAGTTTCCATACTTTTAATAGGGATAACTCACAGTTATGTGCATGGCAGGTGAGCACACTGGTTTTGTATCCTAAGTTTCCATTTAGGCTCTGCTACTTACTGATCTCTTTGGGTTTGGTCATGAAAACACAAATGAGCCTTAAGTTTCATTTGCATAAAATGGTACTATCCCATAGAATCATTGTAATGACTAAAACAATTATCAAATACCTAACAGTGCTTGGCACGAATAAGCATTGTCAGTTATTGGTATTTTTGCTGTTCTTATCATCAGGAACAGAATTAATGATATACATAAAGTTCCTTGAAAAAAGTCAGGCTTTAGATAGCTTTTAACCAATACTATTTGCTTTCCATGGTTGATTCCAAACCCAAACTCCTTAGGAGCCCTCTGTTAACCAGGGAAGTTCAATTTACATAGTTGGTGCTTGATTAAACTCTCTTCAGTGAATAAATTCAAGAAAGGTGACTTTACAATATTGAAAAGAACATACTGTGTCTTTAGAGTTCTACGAATTACAGGTTTGTTGCCATCAATACCCAATGAAAAGCAAATGGCATACTTTATCTAGGTAGAGTCTCACACCTCCATACTTGACTACAGTTAACTCTCAGGCAAACCCTGATGTGCAACTTCCTTGCTCCAGCTGAGGAGACCATGGCCACAGTTCACTGATATCACATGAACCTCCACGTCTGTGTTTTATTATCACTTCTTTAACAGTGTCCATGTCTTTTTGCAAAACTTTCCTATGAATGTAGTTTGAATATCTTGAGTAAGATAAGCATTTTGCTAGATGTTTTGTATATACTTTCTGACTGTTACCACCACCATAGATGGAATTTAGTCCCTTTCAATTAAAAGATATAAAGATCCCCTATGCAACAAATGCATCTAAACTCACCACTGTATAGCCTGCACACCTTAGAGTAGGGTTGGATTGGGTCTCTGCCATTACAGCTTGGGTAGCGCATCACATGCTTCTTGCCTCTGGCTGCAATCTTGCACACCACACAGGAAGTGTCTTCCTTCTTCTATCAGCCTCAGAAAATGACTTGTGAATTGTCATGATTGCCTTTTAGTAATTGTCAGTCACTGAACATTTTTGTGGGGTTTCAACATATTTCTTTGCCATTTATAATCAATCAGTCTTAGGCCCCGAAATTATTATAACCAGTGTATACTTTAATAATGGAATTTTACTTGGTAGAATAGACTTGCACTTTATTATAGCCATTGCTTCTAGTAAACCAAAATGTAGATTCTCACTGAATAACTAAAATATCCTAAAAAAAAGAACAAACTTTCCTCAGTGTATAAAACTCTGATTTAAGAAGTGATCTGCAGACACAGCTACAAATTGTCCTCTTTTGCAAAGCAATAGTCAGAAAAGCTTAGCAACACTGGCTTGGCTCCAGAAAGAGATGTGCAGTTTTTGAATTTACTGTTACAGTATTATCTGTATGCTAAGTAAATTTACTGTATATAATTAAGACTGAAGAAAACACTAGACATAATTGGTACAACATACTGAAATCAGCCTTTCGAAGTCTAAGAAGTCCTTTTAAACACTAAAATAGTATTGACAATCAACAGAAACTTCAGAAAATATACATATATAGAAGTGTTAAGAGAAGCTTTTTCCTTGAGAGAAGCCTTCCCGCCAGCCTGGTTCTAGAGCCGAATCAGTCCCAAATAAACACACAGGAGGCTATATTAATTATGAAGCTGTTGGCCTTGCTTGTTTCTTACTGGCTAGCTCTGACTTAAGTATTTACCCCATAATTGTTAATCTAAGTATTTCTCTTACCGGAGAATAGTTCCGGGCTTCCTACCCCATGGCGGTTACATCTCGACTTCCTGTGTTTCCTCCTTCCCAGAGTCCTCCTGGACTCCTAGTCCCACTTATCTAGATTCCCTATTGGCCAGACAGTGCTTTATTGGCAAATGCACAGGACTTCCCCAACATAGAAGGAATTCTAACAGAGTGATGCCATAGTAGGGAAGATGCTGTTCCCAGATACCATAGGCTCTCAAATCACAATCCCAGTGCCAGGAACAGACTACCTTGCTTTAGGTCGTTGCTAATGGGCACCCGTAGACCACTGACACTACAATCTATTGTGTTCCTCTTGGTTACCCTCCTGGACTTGATAGTAAGTAAGACCTGATCGCTGAAGACAGTGCATATTTAAGGCATAGAACATGGATAAATCAAGCTGGTATCAACCTGAAAGTTTCATCTCTACTGACAAGCATTCACAGTGCCAGAGGGTTCTATTTACACTACAGGAGTCAGGAATATTCAACAATAAAACTAATCTGTTATCACTGTGAGCTACAATAGTAATTGGCCTGGCAAGATATGCCACTGCTGAAGTAGTGACATGGATGCCACAGGAGTAAAATGTGTTTTTATTGTATCAAAACCACCCACAATATAGAACTCTTGTCTAGTGCTCTATCTGGCCTATGCTATATACCTCAGAGGAGAGTCTAATACTATTATTCTGTCAAATGACTATAGTATTAGACAGGCCTCAAGCTATTATCTTTATACCCACAGACAAATGCATTGCTCAAGCCTCATCAGAAAAACTCCTTTTTGTAGTGGATGGAGATGAATAGTGAGACCCACAAATGGTTGTTGTGCAAAGAGTAAGACACTGAGGAGTGGTCAGCTCTAAATCAGTTATCTACATCATGCCTACCCCCACCACACAAGGCTCAGGGATCATGGGAGTGGGAAGACTTAAAGACAAGAAGCAGTGATCATCTACAACAAAACAGTGTTTGCTAGGCAGGACCATCGCACACACGAACTCACAGCAACTGTAGATGCACAAGCAAGACCAGAACCTGATCAAGCCAGCCAAAATCCCAGCACGGAGTCAAGATGTCTAGCTGAAAAGCTATAGCTAACTGATGGCTTTGGGGAAGGGAGAGGAAATTTTATGGTCCCAGAAAGGTTACCTATGCTCCAGTAGATGGTTCTGCACCGAGACATATCAGGCAGCACTATGTAAACAGAACAGACTTTTTAAAAAAAAAAAAAAGAGAGAGCACATGACAATAGAAGAGAAAGTGGTAATGAGGATACAAATTAGAGGGGAGGAAACACCATTCACATGCATAAAAAATCCTGAAAAACGGAGTCACCATCATAAAAACGCATTGATGTTATCGTTGACATGTCTCTACATTTTTGGTTCCTCAGGATTAATGCATAACCCTATAATTTCATTTTCTTTCTTTGGAAAGATTATGGGATATAGAAATGTTATAGTCATCTTATAAATGTGTACGTTTCGGGAATGTCAAACAACTTCACTGGTTTAATGGATCTTATATGTAACAGAACAGAATGCCAAGGGACTTCAAGACATTTATCTGGGAAAAAAAACAAAGTCGAATAAAGAAGAAAGAACCAGGAAAAGAAACACTGAAAAGGTTATTTCAAGCCATTCTTCCCAAGCATCAGAATACATCTGAAGCACAGCAAACATTGTTTGGCCGCAGCTTCAGCACATTTGGGTTGAAGCCTGACATTTGCTTTCCTAGGAAACTCCCAGCTGCTCCTGTTGGCCCAGGACTACACGGAAATAGCCTGTGTTTGTACCAGCTCAGCCTCACAGAAGCTGAGTGGGAGCCACGTACGCAGTGAGTGTTCTACTAACGCCATTACAAACAAAACACAAAGCTGCAGAAAGGGTTCAGAGGATGAAGGCATTTGCTGCCAAGCCTGACAACCTGAGTTCAATCTCTGGGATTTTCAGGGTGGAATGAGAGAGCAAACTCCCAAAAGCCCAAAAGCTATGGCACACACACACACACACACACACACACACACACACACACACACACACACACGCATGCACGCACACACATGCACACACACACTACACAAATAAATAATAATTATAAAAATATGAATCGAGAAAATTAATTTAAACATATCTAGTTTAATCAAGTATGCAAAAAATATGATCATTTTTATATACAATCACTCTAAAAATTACTGAGATTAAATGCTACCATTGTACTCTCTTGGAAACCCAATGCATACGTTACACTTTCATTTGATTTCAAAACCACATGTGACTATTGGCTGATGCTCCAGGCAGTGCTGCTCTTCATGTTCTCACATGTTTGTAGAAGAGTTCGAACCCTAGAAGAATAATGTGGGGGTGATGACTGCATAATGTAATTTTCTCTGTAATTTAAAATATGTTATTTTGTTATTGTTGGAGCTGTAAACAAGGCATCTCAGTATGTTTCATGAGTGTCGTTTTCTGGGCAAGGAATTCTGCGTTCCCATCTCCCATATCACTGTGGATCTTCAGCCCGAGCAGCCTCAGGACTTATAGTTGGTAATTCACATTGTAACGGTCATCATGTATTTCCTCAATGGTCCTTCATTCCTTAGCTATTAAAAATTTAAGTCTTTAAGCTCAAGAACTAGGCTTCTTCGGTGTGTCTGTGTATATGATCTATGTATCCAGTATGACTGCTCACTTTATTTTATTCTCCCATGTGTATGTAGGGTACATGAGTGCATGCATGCATGTTCACATGTGTGTCAGCATGTATCTGTAAGAGTGTATGTGCACATGTGTATATTTACTAAGTGGCCCTCCAGATTTCTACATGGTTTCTGGGGATCTGAACTCCAGTCCTCATGCTCACTGTTTGGGCCAAAAGTGCTTTGACCACTGTTCTCTCTCCCCAGTCCTTGATTATACACTTTGAATACTCCTGTGAGTCATGATTAGTTCAGAGAATGCATGGCCATTGTTTGCTCTTCTGCGTAATTGGTTTCCGTGGGGAAATCGGTTTGGCTCACTCTATGGCTCACTACACTTGAACAGAAAGAGACTGGTTTGCTTCTGTCAGGTCTCTCTGAGTTGTGGATGGAATCTGGGGAAAACCCAGGTTACTGTGGCTACCAGCTAATTTGGGAGCCACCGTGAATAGATTTCATTTTCTTTATTCTGCTAAAATCTCCATGGCACTGAGCACAACAGCTGCGATGCCACCATGCTTCTGGTCTGGATATGATTTGGAGGCGTTTGAGTGGCTTCCTGCCTGGTGAATTCTGGCAGCACTGTTCTGAGCAGGACCTTGGTGCACAGAGATATGCCTGAGCTCTTCTGCA